ATATCTGATCCTTTTAAAAAATTTGTTCCACTTTGAGAAATTAAAGTATATTTTGCATACTATAATACCTTAATGTTTAATTCTTCTATATTCAGGATCACCTGCTTTATCTATATGTTCTTAAATTAAATATTACGAGTCTAAATATAATATGATAAGATACAAGGTGTTTCATCATCGTAATCATAACAATAAGAACCACTCAATTTCTAATATGGATATGAGCAACCACTTATACAACTACCATCTCTATAATAATAGTATCCACTAGAACAAGACTTACATTTGAATGCTACTTCACATAATAAGCAGTATTTAGAACAATATCCTGAAGTAATTTAGATTTAAGACATTCCCCATCCTGATTTGTCATCACTAATCATGATAAATAAATAATTACGTATAATTCCCTATTGCAGAAAAAAGAAATTAATATTTAGGAATGTCAATATATGTAATTAATTCATATTTTGTTCTTGTAGAATATATTGAATTTGATCCATAGTTTAAAATATAAGAGATTGTTAATTTATGAGTTTGTATTCCTGAGGCATTTTTATAGATCGATCCAAAATAAGTATTATTAATCTTAAACTATATTCCACAATTAATTGGAATATCATTATAAGTAAAAATTGAAATTTTTAATCCAATCAAATAATATCCATAAGAATAAGTAGATAATCGTTAGAAATGTCTGTAGATTCCAGAATTAAATTTAAATACTCCATATATATTTGTCGATTCATATAAATTTGCAGCTATATATGTTCCAGCCCCAATAATTGTTGGAGATATATCTATATGTTATGAATCATATATTAATGACCATTTCAAATTTAAAGAGTCAGTAATAACTGATTCAAAGTAACTCTAATCTATTATAAATGCTAGATTATCTTAATTAAAAATAATTACATGGATAATATTAACAAAATCCATTGTAATATAATGGAGATTTGTTATCGCAAATATCTTTACATCCTTCATACTCCTAATAGTATTAATTAGATGAACAAAAAGTGCAAATATTATTAGTTGGGAATCCATAATTGCAACTTGTACATTAATTGTATCCTGGGCCTGTGCATTCATTACATGATTTATGGCAAATTAGTTTAGATAAATAGATATTTCTAAGTGAAACTAATCCTGTATTTGTATTCGTAGATGTGAATAAAATTTAACCAGAAGTTGGAATTGTTGTTAATAAAATTGTAAAATTCACAGTTCTAACTTCATAAGGAAGAGCATCACAAAATCCAGTTGTCATTGAATAAGTTGTAGGGGAAGTATAGGAATATGAATATGTAAATGATTCTAATGTGAATTAAACAGTTTGAGATGACCATGTACCTTGAAAATATAAATCCATAGATATCCAATATATATTATTGAATTAGTAAGAGTGGTAACTTTTAGTAGATGGATAACTTTAAGTTAGGGTTATGTAGCTTGTCCTAGGGGTTGTACAACTGATAAAATTTGCAGTAGTTTATGTTAATGGCTATACAAAGTATCCAGAAAATTGAAATGCCCTTAATTCACTTGTTTAAGTAAATGTCTAATCATAATATAATAAACTCTCATTTTTTTTCCATTAAGAATTTGAATTCTGAATCAAAGAAATGAGGATAGAAATCGCAAAGATGGACATTATTTGATGATAGATTTTTAAAAATTTAATTCATAGAAAAAAAAATATTTTCTACAAATAAAGTGAAGTTAAAAAAATCACAATATGTCCAGTTGTAATCACAAATGAAAATTTTCAAAAAGAAATAAGCTTTTAAAGGTTATAAAAGGTAGATTTAGAATGTTGCAATAAGATGAACCTTTTAAAAAGAATTGAATAAATTTTAAATCAGTCTACAAAGAAATAATAATAGGAAAAGGAATAATTGTCAATTCAACAACTAATTTAACATGAGTACAGATCACTGTTGTTTATAAAATTTGATAATATATCTCAATGATGAAGATAAATAAATAAAAAAAATATCTTGTTTGTCAATACATACAAATAACCATAAATCAGAATATAAAATAGATTTAAAAAAGCAAAGAAATAACAAATTCAAAAGACATGAGGTAGAGTAAAACATAATTAAAAAGGGTAATAAGGTTGTATGAATACAATCGTTACTCTGTTAGCTAAGGTAGCTTCAATATTAAAGTGGAGTGGCATTTACAACTATTTAAATAAGTAACTTCTGTTTTCAGGTATCATTTACTTTTATACATTTAAATATCTTCTTATAAACTTAATAAACTATTAATTATATTATTTATTTTTCCTCTAATTCAAATGAACTTATTTTGTTTAAATTTTTCAATCCAAATTTTCTTTATCGTTTTCTATATTTTTTGTTTTATAGATTTTAAACTTATTGTTATATTGTCATACTTGTATATTTGTGAAATTTTATACTTAGCTATTTAGACCAAATAATCTACTTTACATCTAATTTTTCGTCATAGTAATAATGTTTTTACAGAATTTACAATTAGAATTATACATAGCCAATTAAATATCATTCATACATACTTTTTTTTCTTTTTTAAGGATAATTTATACGATTTTAATAAGTTTAATATTAAATTTTAAGATTATTTCAATTACGCTGATTTTTTTTAAGAATAATCTTTCTATCTTTAATTCTTAATGTGTTCATTTTAGTTATCTTTGTTTTTATATTATGTTTGGCTATTCATTTTACAAATAAAATATTTGAAACATTTAAAAGTTTTTACAAGTAACAATTTAAACTTTTAAATAATTAGTCATAAATTTTTTGTCTAAGTCTTTTAAATCTTTTAAAAATTTAGACTCTTCTAAAGTTCATAATAAAAATAAATGAATTAAACTCAAATTTTAGTTATTGCATTTAAAGCAATTGAAAAAGTTAAAATCAAAAAGTAATAATATTGTTAAATCAATTAATTAATTGTTATGGATATAGAAATTCCTGGGATGGTTAGATTTTAAACAAAAGCAAGTAAATTTATAAATACAACTAATTAGATATTGAAATTGACATCAAAATAATCTACGATTGATGAAATTTATATTTTACCTAAGAAAATTAAATTAACGATTCAAAATTAGGCATAAATACATTTCTAACAAAATCTGCCAATTAATAAGAATTAGAAGCATCTATAATTTTAAGTAAGATATTTAATATAAAGGAACTTAATAAATAAAACCTTTTTATTTTCTTTCCATAATAATATATAAATTATTTTATCATTTTTTTAATTTAAAAATGACATA